CTCTCTTTCCCCTAGGAAAACAAGTATCCGAAAGATGTGGGAATGAAATTACTGCTTACTTGAGCTAAAGCTACATGGGACTCGACCCTTGTATTTTCTACTTTCAGAGGCCCCTTGAAACTGCAGGCAAAATGCAGTTGGTGAAAATGTGGGGATTCTTGGTTGACATCAGATCATCACATAAGTTTGGAAAAACTACAGATAATCAATGATTGGTCTTTTATCTCAGCAGAGCAGTTTTCCAAGCATACCTGAAATTCCTACCCAAAGCAGTCACAGAATTTCACTTGAATTGGCAAGTTCATCTGCCAGGAAAGATGGTACTTTTGTGAACCGCAGGGGTTAAGCATGCCTCATCTTTTTAATTAGGAATTAATTTAAACTTTTTTCGTGTAATTAATTTTAATTGGAAACCAGGCCTAATGCATAGTCATGTTTGAGCTTTCTGAAGTATTTTAGGTGTGTGCTTATGTTACTTATCTCAGAAATCAAAACAATGAAACAACTCTGTAGTCAAGCAGTGATTATGATTTCATGATACTGGAACTTGTTGCAAGGCAGGCAGGGTAGATCCTCCTGACTGTTGGAGCTCATTCTGGCACAGCTTGGACAGTCTTGCAGCATACGTAAGTATTCTCTGAGGCAGGTAGTGTGATTGTATGACAGTGATCTTGAATGTCTTGAGTGGAACAGCCATCTGTCCCTGTTCCAAAGGCTTCATTAATTTTTCTTGCTGCTTGCAAGCTATTGCACATGTACACATCAATCTGTGTGCACACAGCATCCACTGTACAGGATAGCAGGATTTGGTGCCATTTCAGTGATGGCAACCAATGTCTGGGCTGGTGCTTCTGAATTCAACATTTCACAAGCCAGTGCTTCATTTTTTATCTTTACTAATAGTATTTAAGTTCTTATCTTGGAAGATTCTTTTGCCTTTGGGCAAAAAGTTATCAGGGAGGTGACAGTACAGGCATCCCTTAAATGAAAGTTAGTCATCTGCTCAGTTGGCCAAGTTTTCTTTAGAACACATTTCTCATGTTCCCAGATCTGCCCATATCCTCTATACCTCACACTTGTGGGAAGTTACAATTCAGAAATAAAATATTTAATTGCTGAAAATCCCAAGTAAAATAAAATATTAATTTGTTCTACCTGGGGCAAATTTCCACTAGTCCTCTTTAACAGGATATTTTAGCTTCAGTTAGTTGGCATATCTCCACATACATCAGGAAATACTTGGGACTTGGTATTGTTGGCGGTTGGTTTTTAACTATTACTTTCTGTGCCTTTCTCTGATTTTAGATCTTTATTATTTCCAAAGTCATGTTGACTGCACAGTATGAAGTAAAATAAAAATTATAATCTGTACCTGTCGATCCATTTACACGCATAAATAGCATATATGTATGTGTGGTTTGTGTACGCATACTTAACATGGTGTGTAATGTGTTAGATTATTTCTGTCAATAAACTTTAAATTAGGAAAAGGATAGCTTTCCTGTAGTTTTTTAGCCACCACTTAAAAAGTTAATTGTAATAATTGTACTGGAAATGTAGTAAATTTTCTTGGTTTGAATACCATGAATTGTTACTCATCTAGTATCCAGTATATAATAACCACAAAATACTATTGCATTGATAAAACTGTGGTCGGTTTTAGAACAGAATCTGATTTGACTTTGTGTCAATAAAACAATCTCATATAAATGTTGCCATAGTTCCTTAACTTTATGTAATATTTGTTATCTACTCTATAACACTACCAATTAGTAACCATAAAGTTTACATCCCAAGTAGGTGTGTTAAAATACTACATATTACTTTATAGCTAGCTATTTGGAATCTTGTGATGAAAGCTTATGATAACACTTGCCTGCAATGTCTCCTTTCCCATCAGATTCATCTTCTTGTACATCTATGGGGCTCTTGTCATCTGCTATTTCCCAAGCCACAGTTTCCTCATCGGTTTGTGGCTAAGACCCAAATCTTGATGATCCTTTTCCATCTAGTTCAATGTTGATCTTTCATCTTCTGCATTCTTTTAACCAGAAATCTTTTGCCAAAAACCTGACAAGATTGTACTGGGCGTCATCAACAGCAACATCAGGCTTGATTTCAGTGAGCAAAGATGAAACAGCTGTTTCATTGTCCAGATCAGCACTCAAGCACTCAAGATTTGGTCATAATTTTTTCCAGCTTTGTCTGGTTGTGATAGCCTTGATGTTTTTCACTATATGACTAGTGGTGTAACTTACTATATTTTGCTGATCCATTTCTTCAGGGGTTCAGAAACAGATACTGCTGCTTCAGACAGTATTTCCATCCTATTGTCTTTTGTATTGTCTTATACTGTCTGTGTTTGTTCTTCAGAAACTCTTGCTTCACTTTGGCAAGTCAATGTTCTTTCAGTGTTATGTCCAGAATTGCCAAATTATGGCTCAACAGTTGCTGTCATGGGAAAGCTGAAGATGGCTTTGCCTTATGCCAGGTTGTATCAGATAAACTGCTACATTTTGAAAATAAGTGTTGTAAAGTGTCTGATGAAAGTTTATAAAACTTCACCTTCTCTCTCTGCATGCATGTGGGAAGTATCTTTGTGGTGTAAAACTCATCTTTTCAAAGCTGAAGGTTTTTTGTTGATGTTGTTATGGCTAGAGTAGACCAAAGTGGCATGTTACTGTATATTCCAGAATGACTTTTTAGTGCTTTTGGAGACAAAGCTCATGACTGTACATTCAGAGGGAGGAGGAGAGATGAGAGCTGTTTGTCATTGACATTAGTATTTTCCTATTAACTTGGCATACCACTGTATATATAAGTTGATTGTTTTCACTGGAGTGGGATTAAATAGTTGATTGTCTTTCTTATTTTAATTTACTTTTATAGTGGAAAATGGTTAAGGCGTTTGGAAGTCATGCTCCTCCAATTAAATGCTTTTTCTGTTTGTTTTGGGGTTTTGTATATGAGTGCACGTGTTGCACACTGCTTGATTCAGTGATCTGTTTTCTATTGGAGAAAATTTACAAGCATATTGCCCGCCTCACACGAATTTGTTTCCCACAGAGATTCCTACTGCAACGTGTGAGGTTTCTCGTTACCCAGCTATATGGATTACATTTTCACTTCAATACCGACAAAATTAAATTACACAAAAATTGATTAAGATGCATGTAAGCCTAATGTCTGATCTTTTGGAAGAAACTTTTGTCATCTTTAAATGATAACTTTCTGCAAAATCAATGGTAGAAATATTCTGCTTTTGTCAACAATGATACATCTACAGTTTACATAGCAGCTAATGCTACAGCAGAATGTTAACAGCCAACTGTTATTGAGGATCCAAGTTTTTGAATTACTTTGTCTTTTCTAGCTTACATTAGTAAAAAAAGTAACAGAGAATCCAATAGACTGTATTCATTTGTGGACCTCCAGTTCCACAATCTATGTGCATTATTGCATGTTACTGTTTCCTTATTTTAAAATAAAGATGCAGTCCTTCAAACTAGATTTTAGTGCCTTCAGTTTCGTTTAATGCAGTCGTATTTTGAATATTTTGTCATTTATCGATATGCTTGAAAGACAAAACAATTCAAGATCAGTAGTGGTCAGAACTGAATTTTATATTTCAAATGTCAGGAAGAAATCTAGTAATATATAAATACCTGTGCATCTCTCTCAAAGTTTAATGAAGGTTGATACAGTTCTTTTCAAAACTTTAAGATCTTCATATCTGGCTATAATTTCCAATTCCCATTAAACATTTAGATAATTATTTTGCTTTGGTGATCATCCAGGTTTATTGGCTAACAAATATGGTATTTTAAGTTAATAAATTATCTTTCTCTTTTTTTTTTTTGTTATTATAGAGCTTTTCTTCAGACTAACAGGACTAAAATAATTACAAGTGCAAGTCTGACTGTAGTGTTTGTTTATTTGGTTTCAAAGTATATGTGCTCATTGTTTCAAGTTGTCTTCTATACATTTCAAAATATGTAGTTTAAGATATGCTTCTTATGACCCTGTCTTAATTCAACTCTAATGTGTTTTGGTTTTGAGTGGTTCACAAGGCATTTCTTTTTCTAGCAGTCTGTAGGAACTGTTCCTCTGAGTGTGTCAGTAACTCGAAAAAAAGAGGATGAAGTATCAGTTGGAAGTGCACCTTTGGCAAGGCAGCAGTCAAATCAAGCCTCTGAGTATGCCAGCAGCCCTGTCAAAACAAAAACAGTAACAGGTATGATCACCTCATTCAAACTAGCCCTTCTGCGTTTGCAACCTCCCTGAATAACATGTGTCTGCATTTGAAGAGCATCAGTGCAAATACTGTGGAACAACTTTCAGTTTTAAAGAAATATGCTCCCAGAAAACTAAAATTTTTAAGGTTAAAAATCATCAAACTTGAAATATATGTACAATTTTCTTCTCATTTTCATTTAGGTACTGTCTTTGGGGCCCTAATAGTTTCCCGTAGCATGTTTTCTAAAATGCTATTTGCCTCGATATTAGTATTTTAGTCCCTAATTTTATCAGACTTTATACGCTGATTAATCTGTTCGATTTCAGTCAGTCTGTTCACATTGCTTAAAGTCTGGTTTGTATGGAAGTCAAGATTTATGCAGAAATGGTTAAAAGTCACTTTTCAAAATCACTCTTCCATAGAAAATGGATTTGTTGGCACTTCTGTTTCTGGAATTCAAGCAGTTATTACATTTAGAAGTATTTTCTGGCCCCTTAAGAGTGCTGAAGTTAAACTTTATCACTAATCAAGATGATATAGCTTTCTGGGATTTTCTAGGTTATTTATTCATATTGTACTGTCTGCAAGTAGTAAAGTAGGAAATCATCCAAAAAAAGTGACTATCCAGCTGAGACTTTTAGTAATCCTTCTGAAATACACTGAACAAATTATCTTTTCCTTTGCATTGATGTTTATTTCCAGATAATCATGAAGTATTTCAAGATGTTGTCTGCTGAAGCTAAGATTACAGTCTTGTCTGTTAGTGGTAGGGTAATTTGTTATTTGGAGATTAAAAAGGACTAAAACCAGAAAATCTGTTTGCTTAGTATTATGAGGGTTGCCCTGTTATCACTGGTAGTAAAATAATAGTTTCATTTCAGAGACCTCTTTCTATGTCATTTGTGAACATCCTTTATTTTTACAATTTATCCTTTTATTTTTACAATTCATTTATGAATTTCCTTTATTTTTGCCTGTAATTAAATGACTGTACTAAGTATATTTTTTTTATCTATATTTAATTGTTCTGTTATATCAACATCATAAATGTTGATGTGATATATGATATCATGACATGACTTGTTTCGTCTTGAGGTTAATTCTACCTGTGCCGGTCCACAAAGCACAAAGGTATAATTCACTAGAGAAACTTGGCATTTTAAATATTTGACATTCAGACCCACCCATTTGCATGAACAGATGTTACATTAATTTGTATAAATTACCAATTTTAAAATGACACATTTGGTTTGCAGGAGTAGCTTTGTGCTTGATTTTTGAAAATTAGCATCCCAGTCTCATACCTGTTCAGCTTGGTAGCCAGTTTGGATCTTCAGCCTTTGTTATTCTTCACCTTGAATATTGGTTTTTCTGCAGTAACAAACACTAACAGAAAATGTTACTGTTCAAAATCTAGACATTTCATGAATGTCAGCTTTGTTTTTGTTTTGGGGTTTTGTGTGTGTGCGTGCAGAAATGCTAAAAGCAAACCATATATTATAAATAACATCCCAGAAGCAAAGGAAGGACTTCTGTGCATCTCAATTTCTCCCACTTTTTAGTTTGAAGTCAATATCAAGATGTGTTTTCAGTTACTTAGAACAACACACAATGTTAGTTGCCTTGTTAGCAACCATTTACTTTACTCATTTAGTTTCTCAAATAAGTTTAGCCTAAATCCTGGGGGTTTTTGTCATTGAGTAGATACATGGCTTCACTATAAAATAATTTTGTGGTATGAAGTTTGATACTAATAAATGAAAGGTGATAGTACTAATTCTCTCTCTGATTACAAAGGCACCAGTTAAAGTGGTTAGAAAAGGTTGGAAGGGTGCAAGTGTGAAAGATGAGAATTCATTCTCAGAGAAGTTTCAGTGGATCCTTTATTTCACTATTCATTTCTTTACAGGAATATAATGTGCTGGAATATGATGAATGACTGACTAGTTTATTAACCTTAAAATAGAGTGCCTGTGATTCTTCTCCTTTCTAATTTTTCTGGGTCCATCACTCCCACAATTTTTCAGTTTATTTCATGTCTTTTAATTTCACCTACTTTCTGCCTGAGTTTTCTTTCACTATTTGTTTCATCTTTTCAAACCAGCAATACCAGCAATTACATGTCTAGAATGTATGATGCTGCCTGTGCTACAAAAGCATTCTAGGTAAAAGGGGCAACGATTCTTGTCAGCCTCATATTTCTTAATCATCAAGGCTGGAGCTACAGATGCCTTAAGTTTTCCGAGAATTGAGGTTCCTACATTGGTAGCAAGCACACATATGCATAGTCTTTTCAGACTGAGATTACATCTTAAAATCATGCTATTCAGGTGGTGATTTTGAATTTATCCTTTTTAAAGTCTAGCATGATCTCAGCAGTCATTCCCCTGAGAACTGCTAAAAAACCAACCCTATGTATTAAATGAAAGCAGTTTGTAATCACAGCTGTAAAATGATTTAAAACATTGATCTTGAGTTCAGTTTATTAGTTAATGGCTGTTGAGACCTTGCCAAAAATGAAGCATGGGAAAGAGCAGAGCTACTATTTATATGGTATCTGTGAAAATCCAAGGTTTCTGTTCTTAAGTCTAAAATTGTAGTTATTTATAAATCCCCTTAACCACAGAGGCTTCAAAGCCAGGCTATGATAGTAGAATATATGGTTTAAATTTTGTATAATGCAGCTGTGATCAAGCAAGGTGATAAAGTAAAAAATATTTTTTATTTTTTTAAAAAAGAGGAGTATTTACCTCAATTCTTCCATCCACCCACTTCTTCCCCCATTCTCAGCAATTCAGCAGTTCCCTATCAGTTCAGTGAAAAGCAATTTGCAGACCTGTAGCTTTACACAGGTATAGCTCTTATGTCCAGATAGTGGCAAAGTGATTGCTATATGTGTGTATTAGTATACAATATATATTTATATAACATACATAGCATACCTACACAGAAAGATATTATGGGCTGCAGTAGATGGATAGGGCAGTCTTTGGAAGCTGCCTTTTGTACTCTACTGAATAATGATTAAACCCTAAGTGTCCATTTTCACACATTCAAGATGGGTGCTCGTAAATTACTAAAATAACTTGTAGATTTCCTTCACATTAAGCCATTAAATGATTATAATTACTTTCATTTTAACATGTGCCATGCTTAAAGATGAAACTGATTTTGGGGGGGATTTTAGTGCCTTGTAGTGAGGTCTTTATGTAGCCATCACATGGAAATGTAATTTCACCAACGTCTACGAGGACATCCAATGTTTAGCAGTGCTTGGAAGTAAGTGCTTTATATCCCAGACACAAATTTGATACAGTCTTGTGAGGTGTAACCCGGTGACTATGGCATCTGATTTTTCAGTAGCAGTAGAAAAGTAGCCTTGCATGTGCTCCTTAGTATGAGGAATGCTTTTAATGAAAGAAATGACTTCAGAGTATCATGTTAGAGGTCACAAACCTTAGACCTGGAGTAGGCCCTGGAGCCTCTTACAAAGGCACCTAAAACTAAATTCCCTGTCCAATAACTGAAAGCACACTTGTCACATAAAATTTTGCTGTTTCTTGTTAGGCAACAGCCAGGTGTTTGGTCATGGTACAGGAGATGACTGTGTTTCAGCCACACTGTGGGTGTACATAAGGGTGTATGACAGCAGGCAAATGGTTTTCATCACTAAGTCCAGTGCCAGTGACCAGGCATTGCTCCATTTTGTTGTGCACTGGACAGATTACAAGGGCATTTGCAAGAGAGAATTAGACAATGGTGGGTTTTGGACAGCTTTACCATAGGCCAGCTTGATCAGGTCTACAGGTCAGAGCATGTACTCGTCGTTTAATTCCACTACAATTTCAGGATTACCATAGAGTATCAGTCCCAAGTTCAAAGCTGAGCAGAGAATCTAGCATTGCCGCACAGGAAGTGTATGTGTGGTTTGTAAGAGCGTCTGCATATGGGGAAAATTATAGGTAGGACATGAAATCATTCCAGTTTGGAAAAATCTCTTATTTGTGTTTCTGAAACATTGATACATTTTTCTGTGGAACTGTTGTTTTTGCAGAGAAATAATTAGAGAGTGAAAGTTGAAATGCAAAGTTATATTTAGTCCACTATTCATTTGCATTTCAAGCAGGTGGAGGATGGTGTCATAATAAGAAAGTTAAAAACTCTGTCTTAGATGGCCTTTATATTCTCTGTCCTGTATAAATTGTCTGATTTCTAATAAGGATAGAGCTTCTGTTGCCAATTTCTACCTGTTTTCCTGTGCTTATGTATTTTCTCAGACCTTGTAGAAATGTATCTTTAAGATATTTATGTCTCTATTTAGACCAACTGATGCTGTATTAGTGTTTTTAGTTGGTTTCATCTAAAGTTAATAAACTTTCTATTAAGTACAATGTGGCAGAATATGAGCTTTACTTAGCAAAACTGGATGCAGTTACTGAATTTTTTTCCCCTAAAGCACAACTAGAATGCCGAACTAGATTCCTTATAAAATGAGCTGTTGGAATGCAGAAATCTGGCAAATGTGAGAGAAGTCTGGATGGTAAGAAATCAATGGATTATCTGAAGTATTCGAATTAGTAGGTCACTATTTCTGCCCAATGAACTGAATGATTATCGTTTAGTCATGCCTGCTATGAAATGTATGACTGACGACTTATTTGGGAAAATGAATTAAATTAAATAGACACTAAATAGACAAAGTAAAACACAGGAATTGAACTCTGATGCACATTTTACGTAGGGTGCCTGAAAACACTAACTAGGGTTTTTGTAGTTTTTTAAATAGGCTTTAGTTCTTGGAAGAATTATTTAAAAGGAAGGTCTCCAGGCACAGATGATTTATAGTAACTTTTAAAATGGCTGGACGGTCACATACGTAGCATGATTTCTTCAGTGTGGATGTCAAAAACATTAGTAATACAAAGCCAGTGTAGTATATCAAGCACGCTTTCTGCTTGGAGAAATTAAAAGTTGAGAGAGAAAGAATGGGTGTTTCT